GAGGGTACAACACATTGTACATGTACATGTAAGGCTGATAATATTGGAGGGAGTAATTTGGTGAATTTTGTTGATTGGCAGGTTTCAATTTGGCAATTTGTGGCCATGTCCCATTGAGCATGTAATGATTGCAATGGTTGGGAATTCCCAGGAATATGATAACTGACAACTGAGTCAATAAGGGAACAAGGAGTGGCTGGGGACTGCCATGAGTCAGAGAGAGAGCCAGTGAAATGAGACTTAAAATCAGGAGCAGCAGAACCTTCCTCTCAATGAAGCTTACCAATGATAGACTCCACACCTACAGCTAATGATAATAAAGAACAAGAAAGCATAATTATATAAAATATAGTACCACAATTATTATATTATCACAATATTATCACAATTTAATGGGGGAAACCCTGATTTACATAATGCTCCATTAATATTATCACTACCTTTATTCCATAATGCATTCCATTTCCAAGATTATTAACAGTCTTAAGACAAGTCCCATCTTTACCATCCCACAATGCCATGCACCTATTAATATAACATTAATAACTAGCCACACCCCTACCACATCAACACACCCATTTTTACTAAGACCGACAATCTTGTCCCTGTCTCCAGACTCCATTCCTAGTAATATAGTCTCAGACAAAACTAGAAAATCACATGTCCAGCAATGAGTGGACACGGATTAGTATACTGAGCAATTATCTCCATATACTACTGGTTGACTTTATACAGGGCAGGAATGGACATTTCCATTTACTAGGCTATATCTTTCTTCAGAATAAGTCTAATCAATTTGCGCACTTCAGTAGCTGTTCTCCATAATTATACCTGTGTTCCTGCTAAATATGACAGCACTTGGAGTAACTTTGTGTGGAACATTTACAGATTAAAGATGAGGCAGTCAGTGCCACCACTTTGTCATTCCTTTATGTATGTATGATAAATTCTTTACTTTTTGAATGGCTATATCTAAATTTCAAACAATTTTTGACATATTGTGCACTTATTATGTGAAAGTACAACATTTTTACTGCCCAATCATGCAAAAAAGAAAAAGAAATTCAAAACTTTGTTCAGAACTTTTGTCTTCTAAAGGTGAAATAATTTTAGTCATCTCAGTGATAACGGGTGCAGCAACAAGAGTGAACAAGTGCTTTTCTCTTCTCACGGGAATAATAAAGTAAAACTAAGAGTGCTTAACAGCTACACAAACAAATCATGTCTCTAGATCCTTTTAAAGTAATAACAAGAAGGCCGTCTGTTAGTGGATGAGTCTTCTTGCGCCACGCCTGCCACTTTAACAATAGAATATGAAAAAACTACCATAACCAATTGCATTAAGTAGCATTCAAGAAGCTCCAAGTATCTAGTGAAGTCCCATCCATGAACCAGAAAGACGTTAGCAGGCTTTGTAGTGAAGCTTCCTATCAATCCACCATTGCTGAGCTGCCGTTGCTATGGTAATTCCAATAATTATCATTAAATTAATGCGACCGGAAGTTCCATTGCAATTGCTGGACATGATGGGCATTAATTGGAAAATGTGGTGGGCATTATTTATAATGATACATAAAGGCTTTTAAGTGATAGTGATAATTGGTCTAACCACAAACTCTCCGTTGATTCTCTTCCTGTATAAGTTCCAGATACAAATCTGTCTCGTTTTAGTACCAGTAGCTCCTCCTTTATCCTCCTCTGTCCTATCATACACAGTATAATAGTCAGTATCAAAATCCAAAGCTCTGTACCTGGTCATACTGGTAATATCGTGTACTGGAGGATTATGGCCCCAAAACACAATAGGGACAGTAGTGACACGATGAGTTAGACACCATTTTACACACGTGGTATCACGTGGACTGCGTGGGCAAGGACTTTGCTTTGGGCGTGGCTTGATAAGGAAATGGAACAGTGATGAGTGACCAGGACCAGAAAAAAAGGTAAATTTCTGAATTTTCTCTTTTAATACCAGCATACCTTCCTGATGCATGTATACATGCACTTTAACCGTTTAAATGATGGAAAGGAAGTAGGGTCTGGCTACGCAAGCTTATGTTGTGTAGAAAGTT